AACTCGTCGCCGGTGGCCAGCTGCCGTTTGCAGACGATGCAGGCGAAGCAGTGCAGGTGGTAAACGAAGTCCTGTGCCCGGCGCACCACCTGGGTCGGGGGGATGCCCTGCTGGCAGGCGGCACACTTCGTCCCGAAGCGCCTGAGCGGGGGCACAAGCGGCGGCCCCTGAGCCGGGGGAGGCCGGGGGAGGCTCCGTGGACAGAGCCGGCTCTGTCCGCGGTGCTGAACCCCAAACGCGCCCGTTCTGTGACCCCCACCCGGCCCGGCCGCCCCCCGTCCCCTCCCCACGCACTTGAAGAAATCTTCCTTGCAGTAGACGCCGTCCCCGCGGCTGAAGCACTTCTCGGCCAGCTGCGTCTGGCAGTCGGAGCATTTCAGGCACTTGCTGTGCCAGTGCCGGTCCAGGACCTTGAGGATGAACCTGTCCACGATGTGCTGGTTGCAGCCGGCGCACAGCGGGATCTCTGCGGGGAGGCAGCCCCGGTCAGTCCCGGTGGCTCCGCCGCCTCCCGGCCCGGCCCGGAGCCCTCGGGGCTGCTGCCGACCAAAGGGGGTCCCGGGCTGGCCCGGGGAACAGCCCGAAAAAAATCATTATTCGTTCAAATTCGTTGTCCCGGCGCCGTGGGAGACTCAGCCCGCGCCCCGGAGAGCAGCGAACCCCAGGGCCGAGCACCCTACGGGGGAAGCTCTCGGGAGCAAAAGGAAAGCGATGGAAACGGAATTAATCCCCCGAGCGAGCAGCCGGCGAAGCTGCAATTATCCCAGGCTCCTTTTCCTTTTCCTAAACTTCCAAAATTCACCTGCCGGCAACGGCRGGGTAGCCCGAACGGGGTGGGGAAAGAAACCACCAAAAATTACGAGAATTGCACTGAAAATAAAAACGTGGTAGTCTTGTCCTGTCCCCCTCTAGATATCGACAGAGATTATAGTGAAGGAGATAAGAATACAGATAAGGAGAAATGGAGAAATAAAAATAAACAGATACAGCGGATAGAGAACGAAACGTACAGCTATATAGACATAAATATATAAATTTTGGTATAYAGATATAGATAGAGATATGTAGGTAAAAATATGGATATGAGGTACATAAATAGAGATATATCGGGATGGATAGAGGCGGAGAGATGTGTGACACGGCTGTACAGGATACAGATGGATACGGGCAAGAGTTTATCTCTGTGTAAAGATAAYTATATATAGAGATCCAGCGCTGGATCGCTGTGCACAGGAATAGAGGTGGAGGTGATAATCGTTATCCTTAACAATTCACGGAATCCGAGCAAACAACCCCAACAGCGGCAGCGCTAAAGGCAGCRGCCCCGGCCAGGACGGAGCTCCGGCACCGGCACCGGGCACGGTAACACGGCACAGCCCCGCAAGGTCCCGGCCCAGCCCGGTCCGCGGTTCTTACGCTGCATGGCGATCCGCGGGCCGCGGCAGCTCCGCTCCCTCAGGGGGGCCGCGGGCTCTGGAGCATCTCCCGCGGGGCACAGCCCCCGCCGGCCCCAGCCCCGGGTGGGGTGCGGAACCGCCGCGTTTCCCCCGCCGGTCCCCCCCAAATCACGGCGGCTGTCGTCCCCCGCCCCGGCCGCTGCCACCCCCGCGGCGCCGGGGATTTAATTCGCTAAAGCGGGTTATTTTTAGACGCCGGCCCTCGCCGCCGGTGCCGGTCTGAAGCGCCGGGCAGGGCATCGCGGCGCGCTGTATTTAATCCCCCCCGCCCCCGGGGCCGGCGGCACATCCCCTCCCGCCGCCCCTTCCCGGCTGCGCTCGGCGGGAGGGACGCGGCTCCGGGGAGCCCGAAAGCGAACCCCGACGGGGCCGGAGGCGGGCGGGGATCGCGCCGGGGGAGGCAGCGCGGGCCGCAGCCCCGAGCTCGTTGAGAGCCGCAAACGCCGGGATTTGCCCCCGGCCCGGGCAAAGCACGGCACGGTTCGGCCACCCCCGGTGGCGAGAACCCCCCCGGGACGGGCTCTCGGTCACGGTAAGCYCCGCCGAGTCCCGCCGCTCCCTTCCCGCTGCCCTCCCGGGCCCCGACGGAGCCGAGGACCGCGGGGCCGCGAAGGAGCGTCGTGTCCTTCGGGAAAACGGTGTTTGCGCGTCCTTCGTTCTACCGGGGGTTCGATTTCGGCGGCGCCGCCTCCTCCCCCGGAAAGCAAAAGCAGCTTTCGGTTGCCGGGTGAAACGCGCAGCTGCCGCGGCCGCGATGTGCGCACCGCGCAGAGCCCTCGGGGACAGCCACGGAAAGGCGAACCGGGGAGGACCGGAGGCACCGGCCCGTTCACGGCGGCTGCCGGGCCGCGCGGTCCGTCCCGCTCACGGTGACACCTCTGTCCCCGCACACCGGTGGAGTTACCGCCTCGGCTCTTCGTTGTTTTGTTTTTAAGCCCCCGTAGACCGCGTTCGGCGCTGGCGAGAACCGGGGCGGCCCCGCACCGGGACCAGACCCGCTGCCCCGAACCCGACGCGGCCTCCGCCGTGGAGACCCGGAGCCCCGGCCACGCCGGGTGAGCGCAGCCCGGTTCTGCCCGCCCCGACAGAGCTGTCCCCGTTCGTTAAACGGGAGGGAAAAAAAAAACATTTAAGAGAAGAATTAACGGAGTTTTTCTAAACTAGGCAAGAAGCAGGATGGGAGCCGGGCAGGGGGACGCGGGTGGCCCCCGCAGTCGGCGGGAACAATCGGGCAGCAGAAAGTCCGCGTTTCGTTCTGTCTTCGTTGCGCGGATCCCGGGACAGAAGCAGCAGCCGGGATCGACGGCGAGCCCCTGTTCTGACCTAACGGGACGCAAACGGGAGCCTGGAGCAGCYGCGGGACCGCCAGAGTACGGGGGGCGGCGAGGGGGGCTCTGACATCGGGGCAGGAGAGAGTGAGAGAGCGCGAGGGACGGGCGGGATGGACCGAGACGGAGCCCCGGTGCCGTCGAGCCGCCCGCTCTACCCCAGAGCCGCCCGACCGCAGCCCCGACGGTGCCCCCGGGAGTGCGGAACCAGCGCAAACGAGCACGGCCGGGCCGGGGCTCCCAGAGCAGCCACCGGGGCCTCCGCGGGGGGGACGCGGAGATCTGCGCGCCTGCCCCTCACCTGGGCTCCGCGGGAACGGGCAGAGCTCCGCCGCTTTCTCCGAACCGGCGCGGACCCGCTCCAGCAGCATCGCGGCCTCCGTGGGCGCCGTCCGAAGTGCGCGGGTGGCGGCGGAGGAGTGGCGGAGCGGCGCGGAGGGGCGCGCAGGGAGCGGCGCGGGGCTGGGCGGAGCGGGGGGGGCGCGGGGGGCGGGCCGGGGGCGGCACCGGGCCGCAGCTGGGCCGCGGTTCACCGCCGGGCTCCTTAGCATCACAAAAGCGGCGGGGGGAGAGCTGTCCCCGCCGTCCCACGCGTGGCCGCTCCTGACGCGTGGGTTCGGGCTGCAGCCGCCGCCCTCGGGCTCAAAGCGGCCCCGGGACCCCCCTGCGAATCCCCCGAGGCCGCACGAAGGGGTCGGGGGAGCTGCCGTCGGGGGGAATCTCCCTCTGGGCTCGGCCGCCCCCCGGCCGCTCCCGTGCCCGGATTTCGTTTGTCCCCCGACGCCGCCCGTGGGCACAGGGGGGCTCTTCCCCCGCCGTTAATTAATTAACGAACGCGGAGAGGTGTCTGACCCCCGGGCAGCGGCGCGCGGCGGCTGCGGGAGGTTAATTGCRCTAATTGCAGACGGGGCGGACACGGACGGGGTGCGCGTGGAACACGCGTGTGCGCACGGGGCTGCGGCTGGAGCCGTGCAGGGTTTTTGTGAGGGGTTTTTGGGAACGCAGGCGGGGCTGGGCAGGTGTCTGTGTGTGTTCACAGCTTTCGGGATGTGTGCCTGTGCCCGGATCCCGTTCTATTCTGTGGGACCGGGCGTTTCTGCCCTCGCGGAGCTGCCGATGCGGTCGCAGGGGCGCGGGGGTCCGTGTTTGTCTGGGAGACCCCCGTGTGTGTGTGCACCGCTTGCYCCAGGCAGCCGGAGCTGATAATTGTGGTTGTTACTGTGAGCCCGTTAATCCCCCGAATCCCTTTACCTCCTGCTCGCAGGGGATTACAAATTAATAAAAGCAGCTTAGGGGCGGGAGCCTCCAAACACACATATGCTCCTGCCGACGGCAGCGCCGCGACTTTCCCCCGCTCGTGGGGGCGGCCGGGGAGCCCCCACCGAGTCCCCGACCTCGTGGAACCCACCCCGGGGTGCAGACCACCCTCCGGTGCTGCCGGGCTGAGGGTTGAGGCAGGACTGACCCCTGGGATGGTTCATCTGGCCGGGGACACGCTGCGGGACTGCTCAGCCCTGTGCGGCTGGAAAATAATGCACTTTGGGAGAGCTGGAGACCCCAAATAAAGCACCCAGAAATGCCAGGCTGGAACTGAGTCCAGGTGCTGCTGGAGTGTGACCTGTCCTGTGCTGCAGTGACACCAGGGACCGCCAGCACCAGCACCGGCCCTCCCCAGGGCCATGAGCAGCTTTGGGGGGCGGCTGATGACCCACACGGTCCCTTTTAAGCTCGGTTTTTAAGTGGATTTAGTCTGAGCCTCTAAGGAAGCTCTGTTAGCAAACCCCTGTGTGGTGGTGCCCGTTCTCCTGGGCAGGGGGGTGACCAGGGGCTGTGTCCCACTCAGGACCACCAGTGGCACCTGCCAGCCCCGTGGTGTCACACAGTGACTTCCAGGACCCCACAAAAGCCCCSTGTGCTGATCTCTCCCTGCACATCCTCCTGTGCCCTCCTGCTCAGCTCAGAGCAGGTTCCAGACCTGCCCATGGCCTTGCTCACTTTGGATTCTGTTAATAAAACCAACCATTAACAAAAACCAACCCACCCAAACATTCATTTCTTCCTGGTTTAATTTTCTCCTCTCTCATTCAGATTTCTGAGAAGTCTGGGTTTAAAAGACATCTCCATCAGATGATGGATTTGGTTTTTCAGGGACATGTTCATGAGCTGTCCTGGTGACAGAGTTCAGCAAAAAACAATTTGCAAACCCAGGTAAAGAGCCCAAACGCATCACTTTGCCCAAACATTTGCAGTTTATTTTAAACAAGCACATTAATTTACAATTTAGTACAAAACAGTCACTTWTCCTTCCATGAGAGGAATGAGACAGTAAAAACCCAACCAAACCGGAACAGACTTGGAAATGTCAAGTTATTGACTTCAAATAAATAGAACATTTAAATTACTGAAATGGTATCATCACTATTTTCAACACCTCATGTGCAACAACACACCTGGGACCTTGGTTCCCATCCAGTTCTGTGCAGGAACAGCAGGATGCTGGAAATAGAAAATCAGTTCTCACAAATAACTTCATGAGGTTCCTTTAGCACTGGCAGCTTTTGTTTCTCTCTCTCCTGGCACATTATACTCCTTTTATTTTAMTATTTACTATTTGAAAACATCCTGAGAGCAAAGAAAGCTGCATGAATTACAAAGGGCCCAGAAATCCCTCTTGGAACTGAGTGCCCCAAGCCCAGCACGATCCCCATAGGGAAGGGGCATTGCAGGAACCTCTGTGGACAACACATCATACAAATAAACCCTCTGACATCAAGGAGATGGGGCTGGGGACAATTTTTAAACCAGAAACGCTTTCCTGGCAGCATCACCCATCYCCCAGCACAGACTGTATCGTTACAGAGAAATAAAATGATATAATTTATCATTAGWAAAGACAGAAAATAAACCCAAGCAAACCAAGATTTACACAGGTGAATTCAAAGTCAAGAAAAACTTCCCAGATAAAGACATTGAAGTGAAAGCCTTGGCTTCACTGGCAAGAGTTGGAGCACCAACAAGGACATGCAACATCCTCATTTCATACTTTAATACTCTGGAGAGACAAAAAAATCCACTGAAGTTTGACTACTGGTTCATTTTGTGGTGTTTGCAGCAGGGAATGTGGAAGTTAATGGTGTGTAGCAACCTCCCCAACACCTTATTCCAAAACCACATTTGCTGGTTTTTAATGGCAAAATCATCTCTAAAAACTTCTAAAGCCTTTTGCTGTTATGTGCAGATGAAAATGAACAGAATGAGTCAAAGGTAACGAAACCAGGTCTAAATATTTGCTAGAATCCTAAACAGCAGCAGAAATGGCTGATTTTCTACTTGAGAATGTGTAAAAATACTGGCAGCAGGAATTAACTGCCCCAATTTCCCAGATCCAACACTGCTCTGAGRGTTAGATTTTCCTGATGTTTGGATATTCCTCTAAAGCCAAGTGTCCTTGATTGGGGGCTGAGAACACCTACCCAGATTAGGCCTCCCAAAAGGTACCTGATTTTTAAAACTAAATGTGCAATCTCCAGGTTTTCCTCTGCATGAGCCTCCCCATGGGGTCTCTCACTGGGTTCCAGCCCAAACCAAAGGACCCTGATGAGCCTGGACCCCCTTCCCCCATGGGCTCACCATCACTATTGTGCTTATAGGTTTCTCTAATGATGGGGAGTCATAAATTACTGAAGAGATGAGGCCCAGGATGGCTCCTTKTGCCAGAACTCTGGAATTCTGAGGGTTTTCTAAAGCAGCTCCATGGAGGATGCTCGTGGGRCAGGGCAGAGCTGCTCTCCAGCTCCACAGAGAACCTGGAGAAATTCCTGACATTGGAGCAGGAGCCATGGAGCACGTCCAGCAGGGAGGAGGGCTCAGCAAAGCACAGGAATGTCACACTGACAGTGCCATGGGAACGGAGATTTTTTCCTATCACATTCACAACAACCCCAGAAAATTGTTAAACTTGTTTCTTTGYGTGGATGTTATTTTGATAAATTTAAGCAATGAGGGACGGTGAATTTTGCAGCTCAGTTTTGTTGTTCCAAGTGGATGCTGCAGGAACTTATCAGAAATATTCAATTTTGTGAGCAAACATTTGATTATGAAAAAATAACCTGTGAAGTTTTTGTGCTTTTTTGTTGTCAGGCTTCAAACTTTCTATGCTGGGGCTTATGAGGGAAATCAGGAGGACACACCAATGGTATAAATACAGGGAATTGGCCAGGGACTCCTCATTCCTCCTCGTGTAAGAGGAGCCAGCAAACATTCAATTAAATTAAAAGTTGCAAATGTAGAATTGAAAGGAAAAGCCCTTTTATATAACATAATTAATCTGGAGAACTCACTGCCACGAGAAAACATTGAGGCCAAAACCTATTAGGATTAACTAAAGATTAGGTAATGGATAACTAGAACATGCTCAATTACATTGGATAGGATTATAAACTTCACTATCCAGGACGTGAATTATCCCCCCCAGCCAGGATCACAGGAACTCCTACTCCCAATGATGATTTTTGGAAACACCAAGGGAAGCATTAATTGCTCTGTTGTGAAGGAGAAATTCAATGGAAGAAACTCAGCATATGCAGATTTTTCAATCTGTTCTGCTATGGTAACACAAATCTTGCTGTCMTTTATTAAACATTTTATTTTCCTTTCCTAGAGTTTGTCAGGATTGGCTTCCACCTGGATAACACCATAATTACTCAGCTTTTTTCCTGGTTTATAAATGGAGTTATCCAATGCTCCATTAACACACCCAAAAATGGAGCAAGTAAAGCACCAGGTCTGAGTCTGTCCTTGCTCACACCTAACCTCCAATAAAATTTAAGCATTCAGATTCATAGCAATCAGAATCTGCTGCTAATTGTGCCCCCAAACTCATTCTAGTGGACACACAAACATCTTTGGCTGGAGTGCACCAGAGAATGGATGAATGACTTGAATGCTTCCTACTTTAAATATGCCAGTAAATAACATTTCAGAAAGTCACAGAGGTTTAGAATTCATTTAATCAGAATAGAACTCTTGTTTCCTGAAAAAAAAACACCATCAGAATTCCTGCTTCTCCCAATGAAGCGGCCAAGGTACCATTCAGAGGAACCGTTCAGCACTCGGGGAGGTGAAATCAGCTCTGGATGAATTAAAAAAAAAATAAAACCTGACTTGAAGTACACAAAACAATATCCAATTTCCTTCTCCAGCAGGCACAGTGGATTGCATAATGCAATGTTTACTCTGGAAATGAGTAAAGGATGTTGGTGGGAAATCATGGAAAAATCTTAACTGACAAATGCAACCCTCCCTTGTGAGGACATTGATGAGGCCTCGGGCAAAGCTGGGGATCTCAAAGCCAGCTCCACCCTGTTCAGCTGAACACCTGGGAAACACCTCGGGAAGAAAGGGGTCTGAAACAAGGAATACTGTGTATAAAATCCCTGATCATAAATATTAAAGCTGTGTCTGGGACTGAACAGCCACGTACAACGAGAACTCCTACACCGAGGAACGATAATACTTCACTTTCCAGCGCTTGGATCTCACCCGGAAAAAAAAGTACATGATCATTAAAAACAAGGATGATGCTACATAGAGGATGACACACAGACTCATGTCGAGGTTGGAAAATCCAATCCCAAGGAAGGACACAGCCTGCCTGGTCCCCTGGAGGTTCACGGATGCAGCCGCGCTTTTGCCGCTACCTTGGACAGCTCCAGCATTTCCCAYTGGTTTCTCTAACACCTTGGAGCCTGAATCTATTGGGATTTCCTTATCCTGGAGTTTATTTTCTCCATTTTCCCCGGGGTTCTTCGGCAGGTTTTTGTCTTGCACCTCCCTCGTGTCTCCCTGCTCATTGTCACTGGAGTCAGTCTGGCTCTCGGTGTATTTATAGAGGATATTTTCACTGCTGTAGTGGGACTTGAGGAACTGCAGGACTTGGTCTTCATTCCAGCTGTGCAGTCCTTTGATTTCCTCATGACATGCAGGACAAATGTCTGGAGTTGGCCACTGAACTTTGGGAAATTTGGGATCTTCTGTCAGATCACCTAATTAAGAGGAAAAAATAAATTAGAAGAAATGAGGGGGAATGAAGTGGGAAAGCTGCACCATCAGACACTTCAGAGGGAGTGTTTTCCACTTACAGTGAGGTTGGCATGAAAAGCCACAGAGCAGTAATGTTTGAATTAAACCAAGACAATCACCAATTTGGAAGTTTCCTCGTCAATTCTGACCCAGAACATTTCAAAATACAAACACTGAATCACAATTATTTCCCTTTTGTCACAGTAAAAAAGCTGCAGGTTTTCAATCCCAACCCAACTCCAGCAACTGCTGCTTTTAGAAGGCAGGGACACACAACTGCCTGGGCCCTGCAGGGTTAAACTGAATTATGGTGCAAAACAAACTGCTCTTTTCACTCGGTGCTCCTTAATCCCTGTTTTCTGCCTGGTCTGCAGGAGCAGCTCCAAGGCCAGAGGCTCAGATATTTTCATGTTTCTGTGTTGTGAACTATTCCATCCCAAGCTTGCTTTTCCACAGCTCTGTGTTATCACCAGAGCAAATTTGCAGCACTTTAAAATAATTCTCATGCTTAAGATGTATTTTTCAGCTAAAAAAAAAGCTCTTTAAACATGTAACACTGTCTTAAATTAGATCTAATTTTAACATTTCAGATGCTCACAGCTCTGGYCATGTTTCTGAGCTAAAAACTGTAGCTGGTGTCACACTTTGCTCTAAAAACTAATATTTAAAAATTTAAATGGAATTATTTTTTAGGGAAAAAACCTTCACCTGGCAAAAAACCTAATTAATTTAACTGTATAGTTACTAACGTTTAAAATATTTCTGAAATATAGATTCTATTATTATTATTGTTTTAATTGTTTTTAAAGGCAGGAAATTTCCCCATGATTTTGGGTAGAACACTTAAAAACATTTGTCTTCTTGACATTTACGAGCAAGAGAGCAAATTTGCTTTTTTATCCCAAAGATCACTCAGGAATCGATTTGYTTCAATAGAAAATGCAGAAACAAAATGTCTTACAGCAAGGTTACAAAGAGAAAGCTCCCTGTACTTTGTGTTTTCCTGCCAAAGAGGGAAATGCTGTAAATCCTGTCCGTTCTACAGCAACAGGGAATAATTCAATAGGGCAGAGCCATATCCAGCCACCTCCTGACCCACACTCCAAGGCTGCCCCAAGGTGTTTTCATTGACCAAACATCATTTCTCATGTAGGACCACAAATACAGATGCAGCTTTTAAGGGTGAAAATATATCACTGTCCCAGAGAGAAATTTTAGCAAACTTAAAAAGCATAATTTAACATTATTATTTATTCCAGTGTGTTTATACTTCTTACTAAAAGGGTATTTTAGCTGGCTGCTGCATCACCTAAATCAATATCCATGTGAGTTTTCCAATACCTTAATGTTCTAAATAAGTGCATTGCTCCACCACTTAGCAACTCCAAGTCCATGGGAGTTGCCTGTTCCTGTGTTCAGCCCAGCCATAGGAACCAAAATTAGGAGATGTTTTTATTTAATCTCTTATTATTTACTTTTTTTTTTCCTCCTCAGAGAAARGAGACAACTGATTTGTGCTCACAGTATTTAATACTTCATAAATCTGGGGAATTCAGCATRAGCATAATATGAACACAATGTGGCATATTTAAATTGTAACTAACGCTGMATTACCCAGATCCATAACAGCAGACAGGGATTTAGTGCAAAGAGAAACCAATTTTCTTTAGTGCTTTAGTTACCTGATACCCCCATAACAGAATGGATTAAACACAACCAGTATTTTAACAGCACTTTCAGTCGAACTGAAAACACAGGGGGCTGGAGGGGACACAGATTTCCTTTATACAGTGATTTTATTTTATTCTGCTGATCTGCCAAGAGTTGAGGCTCTTTTGTCCTGAGAAAGCCTCTTATTCAATTGACATTGTTTTCCAAAACTAAAGGCAGTTTTTAACATCTCTTTAAACTGTTACAGAAAGAAATGCCATTATTTTTAACCCTTCTAAGCAGCTAAATTGCTCCTTCTGGAGAAGGCTTTGATTTGTGCTCCACAAAGAGCCTCTCAGCAAGCAACAGGTGAAATGCCAGATGAACCCAGCTCTGAGAATTTCAGAGTTGTTTTTATTGAGTACCAGAAAGGCCCAGCTCTGTCTCTGGTGTTTCCTCCCTTACCTGCCAGCCTGTTGTTCACCACGTTGTGCTTCTCCCACAGCCACAGCACAGCCTTGTCCAAGCTTTTCACCGAATCCATGGACTCCTTGGCCATTTCCTCAAAGTGCTGAGCACAAGCCTTGCACCCAAAGAAGTGCTGGATGTATCTCCTCATGACCTGGAGCACAATCTGGGGGTTGTCCTCCAGACCTRCAAGAGACATTTGGCACAGTCTGAGCAAACACAGCTCCAACAGCAGAAGAGTGAATTGAGGGAAAAGAAAAGGAAAAGCTCCTCCATTCTTGTTCCACACAGTTGATACCTGACCTTACAGATCTGAAACGAAKCACTTTTGTGATTTAAAGTGGCTGTTTATACCAATACATACAATATATTTCGTGTACACAAYTGTGCTCAAAGTTACCCTGAAACGCAATAAAATAAAAGTCAAGTGTTCTCTATAGTGAAATTTCTTTTTTCAAAGAATATCTAAACATTTGAGGGGAAAAYCAAAYCTGGGTAACTGAAAACMAGAAATTATTTTAATCAGGAATACATTGTGAAATTGTTAAAATATGCAAAGTTCACACTGTGGGTATGTCACAACTCCTGWGGAAGTGGAGAGTTTCTCYAAGYTCTTGCCCAACAACTAAATAAATAYTTAYGTAATGCATTCACCACTATAGTCATGTCCAGGCACTAAAGTTATGGTGACTTTGCACTGAAAAATCAGGAGTCAAACCCCCTCTGGTGAGCACTGCACAAGGTGCCTGTGGTGGCTGTTTGCTCCTGCACAATTTGGAGGAATTAGGGAGCACCACAATCTCATTACAGTTATTAATTCCACGGCTTTTCTGGCAGGCTCTGAATGCCCAGAACAGCTGCTGAGTAGAATTTGCACTTTCAGGAGTAAATCAGGAGTTCCTCTTAAAATAAACACAAACACATTATTCTTCCTATAACATTCACACTTTTACATTACAGATAATGCAAAAGAATAATTAATTCATCAGGAAGACAAGGTCTTCACAGGCTGAGAACTTTGTGGCCTTTACTGTGCCAGAAGTAGCTCGTTACATCTTTAAGTGGCTTGAAAACCTGACATAATTTGTTGAAATCCTAATGGCTTCATCTCTGTCTCACAGAATTTCTGATTCATGCTTAATTGACCCAGTAAATTATGTCAAAATGTATTTAAAAAATGTACTGTGTGCTACCAYGAACACACACTTGTCAAATTAAACACATTTTATGGTGCAGATTGATCAAATTAGACTCCTGCTGCTGAACACCACGAGTAATTTACTATAGCTTTGTTTTTTTGGGAAAAAAAAATCATCCTCCACAGAACCTGCTCAAACCATCAGAGCACTCATCTGTTATAGATATGGGAAATACATTAAGACTGTCATCAACACCTTTATTTAGAACAACAACAGGATATTCTTAAACACAGCAGCAAAAAGGAGTCTTTAAAGCCCAAAAGAAATCCTAAAAAACAAATGATTTCTCCTCAGCCATTCAATATCCCTGACTGAATAGACATGTATAAATAAAAACTACGAGATTAAAGCAGATTAAATTACTGCATGAAAAGAAAGGCTGAAAAAATTATTTTGGAAGTTGAAATGAATTTTAAGCAGAACAGTTTTAACATTTATATTGAAATAGGTATCTAGGAAAAAAAAAACAAACCAACAAAAGTATCTACCAGCAAATTATCTCTTTGTGGAGAAACAGGGATCCCCACACAATTACAAATTGGACTACATCTGTTCTGCTGTGCAATGTTACACCCCTGAAAATTAGTTCTGGGGAGAGATCTGTCAAATTCAGCAACAGTTAAAAAAGAAACCAGATAATTTATTATAAAATCCAAAAGCCCGTCTTATTCACACCAACAGATCCTGTTATCYAAAAATACATTTCTTATAATTCAGTGTGCTCAGGAAATGATTTCTACAATGATTTTACACATCCTTGGCTGTGAGTTCTGTTCCTTTGGATCCCTCCTGCTCCCACTGCAGGTTCAAATTTCCCCACTCAGCATTAAAATGTACCAAATATAGACCAATAAAATCATTTTATCAAGAAAGCCCCAGCCAAGTTCACCCAGAGTGCCAGGCCCTYGAGCAGAGGGGACGATCAAGAAAAACACATCTGCTTTAGAAAGAAAACAATTGCAAAATGGCTCATTTTGTTTGTTTTTCTTTTATCAGCCCCGAGATGAATCTTCTATTAACATCTGCCATGTATCATCGTGTAATCCTCCTTTTCTCTTTCCTCCCAAACTACTGCAATTCAGGGTAACCCTAATCTTTAAAGTGGACAAGAAGCATAAAACCCTACCTGTGGTGGGAAGGATTAGGGAGTACATCATGCTTTTTAGTAGATGGGATTTAAACAAGCAATAAGGAGAGGAAAACCTCCCAAGACATAATCCCACAGTCTCAGACTGACCCAATTCTTTCACCATAAGAAGTGATCATCACATATCTGGCCCGATTTACAGCCAGGGTTAACTGTGCCAAAGAGTTCTCAGGTCCTACAATGTATTTTTAACTTCAGGCTCATGCCTGAAAYGCATAATTTGAGGTGCAATTTTGCATAGTTAAATTAAGGTTTTTTTAAAAAATTTTAATCAGAACACTTTGGGAYTAAAAGGGGAAATTTAACTTAGGCAGAATCCTGCTGAACAGCTCAAAATCATCCAGTGCAAACCCTTCAAACTCAATGCACTAAACTGAAGAAATTCAACCTGAATAAYAAACAAAAYAAAGAAASAAACAAAAATCAACAAAAGGATGATTTGCTATCAAAAAAGTCTATTCTGCAGGAGAATTATTCAGATTTGAAGGATTTTCACCCTGATTGCAAATAATGCCAGACAAATGCGTGTATCGATAATGTGAAATAATAAAATACTTTTTTAGCATACAATCAACAGCAGGCAAATTGCAAATTTCTGAATTTTATGATGTAGAATTCTCATATTCCTTGGAAAAGACATTGAAAAGGTTTAAAATCAAAACTAAATRGAACTGTAACCAAACAAAGCATGGTCCTGGCAAGAATAAAAACATATGAARGCCAACATTTTAGCATCAGTAATTCTATTATCACTGGGTGAGGAAAAAACATCATATATCCAGCATGTTCCTTAAACAGGAATCATCAGCAGAATATTAACACTGAGCTTCACAAGATGCTGCAAGTCTAAAAATAAGCAATTTTACAGAGTGCTGGCAAAGTAGTAAATCACTGCAGGGATTAATGACAGGTACATTCTGCTGAAAAAAAAGTCCCAAACAGTCATAGCATTCAGTATTTAAGAAATAACATTAGAGAARTATCAGCCTGTACATCTTTTATAGCTACTGAACTGTATGGTTAAACCTCATTTTCCTCAAATTTAATTCCCAGTGCAACCTCAGGTAACCYGAATCATTTTCATCCCTTTTCAGGGAGCTTAAAATTTCTTTGTTTGAAATTCTCCCTTTTTTTTTTTTCTGCTTTACTACTCCCAGCTTTAGGGCCACACATTTTATTTAGCACATTTCCAAGCCTTCCTGCTGCAGCCAAGCTCTGACCCCTGCTGGTGCAGCCCTGCAGCCACTTTTCTTCACAAATGGATTCTTTGAGGATTTATATCAGCTAAAATATCTGCTGCTCACCTGTGTTTTGCAAAGCCTTTGGTCTCAGTGCAGCCTGGACAGTGAGGGTATGGAACAGYTTCCAGAGGGAGCAGCTGTAGCCCCTCAGCTCTGGTCTGCTGCCCTGGCAGCCGACCCACTGCACMTTCTTGGTGAGAAATATCCCAGAAATCTGAAAAAAAAGAGATGTATTTAAGGTATGTGCTGCTCTGGGGGCTAAATTCGCACTGAATGGAGCAGCACAGCTGATCCTACAGGGAATTGAGGTGATCCAAGGGTAAAGAACACTTACTCATGTGTAAGACAAACAAATTTTAAAAATTCCTAAGTCTCAGATACTCTAAAGCATATTCATAAAACTCATCCCTCTTGGACATGGGAACTGTAATACATAACATAAATGTTYAGTCATTGACATCAAACCTATGAAAATGAATCTGAAAGAACACAAAAATTATCTTAATTTGTACGTTTTTTTTAAGAACACAACACACAAAAATATTCCTCCAGCTTCCATGGGCACATTGGAAATTCCCAATTACTCCACAAGGTTTGCACGATTCACTGAGGTAAAGCCTTAACTGGCTGTAAAATTCAGTATTTTTTCTTCTTAGAACAAACCCACTCCTTACTCATTGCACCCAAAATCCAGGGCAAGATTTCAGTTTCTCTCTCTGCTTCCTAAAACACACAGGAGGTTTTCAAATTTCAGACAAAAATAGAGAGGAAAGACTCACGTTGAAGTCTGTGCAAAGACAGCCTTACCACAATGCTTTGCCAAGTGGGATGGGATTCCAGCAAGGAAATTAAAATTTGAGTATTTGGGGAAACTCTTCAGGAATAATGCACCTTTCAGTGGGTAAATTTCCCATCACTTAAACTCTGACCTTCAAGRGAATCCTGCTGACAGCAGGCCCAGCAAAGGCAGGTCAGAAATATCCTCTGGGAATCYTGCATCCCTGGAAGCTGACATTAGGAAACAAGTATTGCTTGCTCATTATAAAACCCAGCCAGGATTGTGTGTGTTTCAATTTTCTCATTTCAATTTCTTCCTGTGGATATGTTTGTTTTTTTCCTGCTAATGATTTCACTTTATTTTCATTTTAACCTTCTTATAACTCCATTATGACTGAGGGAACATCAGTAAGTGATGTCTTAGATTGATATAGAATCTTATCCTTTCCTAATGCCGTGTTTTATGCTGGAAGTGGSAACAGCTTACCCGCATTTTGTTGTTGACCAGATCCAGGATAGCATCATAAGGGATTTTGTCTAATGGAAGGCTCACCAGCCACTCCTGCAAGGTCTCTAACAACTTCACCACAGGCTGACGGCCAGGAAAAAGCTGAGAAAAACAAAACAAAACAAGGAAGCAAATATTTTCAAGCAAAAATCTCATCAGCAGCAAGACACTTTTGGATTTATCTAATGTTTTTCCTGTTTTTAAAATGCTTCATTTTGTTTTCTGATGAGTAAATTAATTACTTGTTCTGCTTTCAGCAAAATGCCATCTCACACTAGCTTTTGCTTACAGAATTCAACAGGTTTTACAGGCAAAATGTTAAAACTGAAGCCGTCAGGAATGCTACAGAACAACTTGGCATTATATAGAATTTCAGATTAAAGTAATTCAGTTCAGAATGCAGCTCGAGTGTAACACCTCAGTGAAACAGAGAGGCTGAAATCCTTCTCATTTTTGGAAGATCAATCACAAAAAACAGCTCTTTTTAGTCAGATTTCTGCAAATTTAGGAGCTGGTCATTCAGAAGACCATTTTCTTTTTCATGTGGATAACAGTGATTTCCAAAGTGATCTGGAAACAGGGACTTCCTTAACTTGGGATTTACAGGAGCCACAGCCTGGCAGATGAGTGTGAGGAACTGTAAATCATTGGTAAAGCCATTATTTTACACAGAAATGGTATTTTGCTTTAATGAGGGCTGTAATTACTGTAGAATTAAGTATGACTACCATCCTTTAGGATCCTTCCAAAGGGAGTAGGATTTCAGTCATGAAAATTCCCCAAGTAGGGAATCAGGGAGGGACGTCTATGATGTTGGATTGACCATCACAGTAAAGAGARGAGCATAAAAAGTTTCCTAACAGAAACACCTGAAAATATGAATGAGAGCTGCAAGGAAAGTGTTACACAACTGAAAAAAATTCAAATAAAGAACAACAACCTCTGGTGTGAAAGGGCAGGTGGAGATGAGCAGGCACCTAAAAGAGAACATTCCCCATTAATCACCAACAGGGAAGCAAATGACATCAGCTGGCCAGGAGCCATCAGGAACAACAGAGGATGTTTTAGGATAATATGATGGAAAGATTACCACCACACTTTCTTAAAGAAATGAGGCCAGCTGGAGATTTCTGACCTCTGATGGCTGCAGGGGGGAGCTGGCTGGGTAAGAAACTGTCTGTCTGATTTTCAGATAAACCCAGATATTTGGAGATGGCTCATATAGGCCTTATTATGCCCATAAGAGTTATTGATTCACTTTTTAAAAATAAAACTTAGTGTTAGCTACACAGTGAGTAAATATAAAGAGATATTGATCATTTCAGGAAGATGGCATTATAAACCAAAATTATTTAAAATTTTTTCAACTCATATCACAAAATATATTATATATATTTTCTCTTAATGCAAATGTAACACATAAGTATTTTCAATTTTTACATGCTCAATTATATTCAATAGCTCAGTTATTTTTGAATACCTATTTAATTAAAATCAGTACCTCAATTATATTCAAAATTTAGACAGAAGCTACTAAGAACTCTAAATAGAACACCATTTGCCAAGTATGCATTAATGAAATCCAAAAGTCAAGAATRAAAAACAAAGGTTGCTTTAATCCCACTGAGTAACAATAGCTACTTATCCTGAAAATCTGCTAAATGGACTATATTTACAGTGTTTGTTCAATATGTTGCAGACTACTTAAGCTTTATTTAATTTTGAGCCCCCTAAGATGAAATTAAATTGCATTTTAACCCTGTAAGGATGTCAGAACAGCAAACAATATCTCAAAAAYAGCATTTAAACACAGACACCAGACTCTTTTTTAAGCCAGTGAGGACGCACATACTTAAACACTGTGCGAGACATTTTAAGAGACTTATGTCCCACAGTAAATTTTATGGCAGAGTCACTTTATCCTCACAAATAATCAAAGCCCAGAAGTGCCTACCTTGGCAGAGATGGTGACAAAGTCCTTGAAGGTTTTTAGCTCAGCTCCCTCGAGTGCCTTGTGYGTGGCGAGCTCCACCCGGAGCAGGAAATGCAATCCCGACTCAAGGTCAGCCATGTACAGCCTGGACCTGCAACACAATCAATCCTGAGCTCCTGCCACTCATTTCTTCACCACTCACACAGGAAAAATTGATGCAGAGGAGGAGAGGAGGTGTCATTAAAGCCCCACTTTGCACAGTGTCCTTTCCAGGATAGGGTGACACAGCAGGGACTGCTCGGTTCGAGTGTCACAGGCAGAGTGTGGACAACTGAGCCACAACCACACATAAAGTTCTTTTATGTTTGACTGAACTTTTTGCCACCCAACCAGCTTTACCTTGCAATGAAATTATAGSCCTGGTGTAAGGAAATTACAGCTTCTCTGTGGGCTGACCACAGACAGGAACAGGACATGCTCTGAACAAAGGGAGGCTTTTGTTCACAACAGTGGATTATTCACAGGGCAGGGGTGCAAACAAGACTGAAAATATCAGTGTTGGAAAGGACTGAATTAGAAATCCTCTCCCAATAGCAGCAGTTTTTCTTCAGGTCCTTTACTTACRAATTAAATCACACCAGCTCTTAAGACAAGAGTTATGATTGGTACAAGTAAACCACATAAACCAAATCAAACATTTTCAAAGTTCCTTCTCACAACCAAGTATCTTCATATCTAAACTCACTTTAAAAAGTACAAATGTATCAGCCACACAGCCCCAGCTTTCAATGCTTTCAGAAAACAAACTTCAGGCATTATGAGACAGAGCAATGGAACTGAACAAACAGAAGTTCACAGAGTTAACATTTCTTGTAAGGGTTTAGCAGCACTATTGTTTCTAAAACACATAATTTAAAAACAATCATTCAAAAACCTGGCTGGTCCTACCTCCTAAATAACATGTAGAGAAGAACATATTAAAAAACAGAATAATCTATAATCATATACACATCTATAACTTAATTTAAACTACAGACTTACTCTGAATTTATCTTCTTAATTAATAAAGTACTCACTTAAATCTTAAAAACCAGCAAAATTCTGCTTCAAGTTTCTTAAATAAAGATGCAGGAGGTTCTCCAAAAGGATCYTATTTAGAAGATACTTGGACTGGAGATTCGTGTGGAGATTTCACTTTGCTGGAAAGCAGCTCAATTTAACTAAGTTGTTTTGCTAACAGAATGTTTCATATGAAGTATTTTATAATAGACACTGAAAGAAGATGACACTAATAGTGTCTAGGAAAGGAAAATAAGTATTATATTAAAGCACTCAGTCCCACATCTTTTCCATTGAAAGATGCTGAGGGATTATCTCTCTGCAAAGGCTTTGCAYCCTTCTCTCAAAGAGGAAAAGAGGGTGAAGATAAACCTTAGAGGATTTGGGTTGATAAACATCTTTTACAGTGACTTTAGTGTTTTCTATTATACTTGCATTTGACAAGCCCTTTTTACTGGCCTCTGCTTTACTATTGCACACACAGAGAATTTCCTACTCAAATGTTACAGCTTGGCATTTTACTATTTATTCTTTCAGGGACAGTGATCACTTCTTTCAGGTAATGGGTGATAAGTCCTCAGTATTTTGAAGGCAATTGAGTATTTAACAACACTTTTGAAGAAAAACATTCCTTCCATAGCAATGAAGGTGTTTGCTGCTGAAATCAAAATACTGTAGCCCTCAGTAATTCCACCTGTGAATTGTCTGAAAAGCTGCTCACAACTGAACTGAGCAAAATGAAGTAAAAGATGGRACTGCACTAGGATTTTATAATAAATTACACCACAGCTTCCCACGAGGCAAGAAAAACTGTAAATTTCAATTACTATATTGACTAAAATCAAGGGCATCACTTACTTATCAAACTCTTTCCACACCTTGATTTCCGTGCTCTCCTCTTTRTTTTCTGGAGCAGGCAGCTGGAGTGGCAAAAGGAGTTTTTTCCGTACACCTGGCAGTGACTTTAAATATGAAGAAAAGAAAGACCGTAGAGGCTTCAAACTGCAAAAGGATAAAGAGAGATCACTTTGAATCTCAGCCTAAGTGMATGTCCAAAGCAAATTAGTGTGTTTATAAAATAAGATTTTCACTTTGGTTTATGTTCCAGGTGTGAAATTCCATTCAAAATAAGAATAAATAATCTGCATCCAAATGGCAGTTCACATTGCACAAGAAATGGGTTTAAGAATGTTGATGCTTCAATTATTTTTTCCACTTTTATTCTGAAGTTTTTTCTTTTCAGGAATAGGACAGTAATAAATTAAAGCTACAAATGGCCAACAGTGGTAAGCAGAAGTAGTATTAGGTCTTTTATTGATAATTCAGGAAGCACACAACTTCAATCAGTACAATGTATTGTTGAGGTGTCAGGATATCAAATCCTGACCTTTTTATAAGTTAAGTGAGCCTCCCCATAACCCTCTGACAGATAATTACTTACTTGTTAATTAATCCATGGCTGCCATTGGGCTGTATCAGGTAGCACGAGGGCACTGAGGTGATCCCCAGTTTCTCCAGGAARGGTTTATCAAAATTCAACGCTCTCCTCACCACGATGTTTTCATACTGGACCAAGTCTAAGATAACCTGGGTAATGAAAAGATGACATGAATTATACATTGTTCAAGRAATATCCAATCTTGTAGGACAAGACACATAAACAGGTGAAGTGCATCATCCTTTAAGGGCATCATTAAGCTGTTTGCAGGAAGTGCAGCTATGGCTGCTCCGTGCACATGAACAATTTCACTTAAAGAAGATTTACTCTTCTCTTGAAATTATTACTCCTATCTTCCTTTTTATTTTGTTTTTCTTGGTCTATCCTGGTCTTTTCCTCCTTCCTTGTGTCAGTGATGACACAAGGCCTCCTTTTTTTCAGCAGTGTGGGAAGGTTTGTCCATTTTGTCTTGTGTTGTAAACATGAAAATAATGCCATTTTCGGTTTCACTAAACTATTCTATAAACCTCAAATACTACATAACACTAGCAAATATCTTCATTCTGAAAGCAGACTCCATGTTAACCAAATTACTCTGTCTTCCCCTCTGACTGTAGATAATCAAAACAAAGGGAGTGTGATAAAAAGCTGAAGAACTTTATAACTCCACATTTCYTCAGAAATGCCCACTTGCACCAACACAGCTGCTTCCAGAGAACAAATGTCTGGAAGCAGTCTGCTTCCCAAAGTGATTCCCACTTTTGGCAGCACAATCTCCTCCACTCATGACACTGAGCCATCTCAGCATCAAATCTAATTAGAAACATTTTGCAGACACTGGATGTTTCCACACAGATTATTCCCAGATAATTACGCRATTTATTTTCTTCACTTATCCTGGATCTTGGCAGGAAGAGAAAAGGAACAGTTGTCTGAGCTAACAGCAGGCTCATTAGGTGGGGAAAGGATGCCCAATCAAATATTTTATTGGAAAGCAAAACCTAATGACTTCCACCTCCTCTGTGTTTCGAATTTTATGCTACCATCTTAATTTCCCAAAATTTATGTGAAGAAAGGGAACTTTCAGAGTTAAGACTACTCTAAACAGTAGACCAGAAGAATGAGCATTTTAAGTGGTTCTCTAGAGTAACAAAATAATAACATAATCTGACAATATGTTTGTTGTAATCTTTCAAATAATGAAAGAAAATTGTGCTAAGAATGGAATTGGTTAATTAACCTACTAAAACAGGAATGGAAGAAGTTAACATGACATCACATTGTTTTGTAAGCAAGTGACTCTGTGTGACTGAACACCACAGGCCTATAAAATCCCTGGGTTTTATGATTCCCCAAACATGTGTGACCTGCTCTAGTGCTGCAATCAGAGAGGTGTTGCTTGTCTAAATAATCTCAAATCCAGCTGGTTTATGGTAACATCCATTCACTCTGTTCCTCACAGGTCACACCTTACCTCTCGTCCAACGTAGGAGCTGTTACTTTCAAACACAATGGCTGTATAGTGGTGGCTGTTCTTGTCAAAAAGAGATGCAATATCACTGGACCTTTGAAGAAAAGAAAAGAAATTTAGCACAGAATGCAATACATTCACTGTCATTCATGGAATTTCCTTTTAGTCTCATAGTAGAACTGATAGCGAAAAAAAACTCACTCCATCTCTAATAGGAGAGAGTTTCTTCTGCAGTTTATTTAATTAACTGAGTAAACAGAGAGCAGCTAAAACTGAAAACAAGGAACTTACAATAATGGATCCAGTGGTGGGCAAGCAGGAGGTCTCACCTCCTGGGAATGGTTCTGGAGGAAGTCAATCATCATCTGACGAACTGTTTGCAGCTCTCGATCTGCTCCTGCTGGGAACAGGTTCCAAAAAACACAACCCTTCAGAAAACTGGGGAAAAATTACTCACGTGAAATTACTCACGCTTTTCTGGGTCAGGTTTTTAATTTAAATTTGGACTTGAAACCCAGAATACTACATGCCTGAAGAAGAGATTTTTAATCACAAATTAAAATTTGCCAAGGTGTATCATTCCTACCAAATGGTGAGGCTACAAAGCTATGGAACAAGAGGAGGAAATAACTGCAGTGTGAGAATATTTTATTGGCTTTAAAAGATCACATTAAAAAGCAGAAAATACCAAAAATGCCCAAAAGGTATAACTGAAGTTCCCKTGTGCAGGAAGGGTTAAGGGTGCAGGTGGTCTCTCCTCTGACCTCTGACCTTTTAAATGTTCATCCATAGAAAGGRACAACATTACTTTTGTCCCAGACAAACCACCTCAAGCTGTGATCCTGTCAAACACTGGGATAAGCCTATTTTCACCGAGTCACATCTGAATAGGGGCTCTCCCAGTGCAAGTCAGGATGCCTGGAAAGTGGCTGARGGATCAAAAGGCACCAGAGTCAGGATTGAGCAAATTGGATCTTGCGCTGATGAGGAGTGTGGTGAAAAAAAAAAAGATTTAAAAAATTAACAAGCCATTTGTGGAAATTAAGCGATACATTAAAAAAAGTTAGGAAAGTGATCCCTAAGTTCTTGAAGAAATGTTTTCCCTGCCCAAAATTCTGCCWAACGCTGCACAGRGTKCTTGAAATATTCTGYTTTAAMGAGCCATTTARTGTYCACCMCAWCCCTGTCCAAAGTGATTGACAGGYAAAGGGATTTTGCTTGTGTGAKGCAGCYTGGCTGACAGGAAAACTGCTCTGGGAGTTTCTTACAGTAAGATGYTCTTACCTTGGTAATTTTCTCCTGTTGTAAACTGCTTTGTAAATGCTTTGAAGTACTGTGTGGGAGAAAAGAGAAGTCCTTGTATCAGACAAAACCCACTTTAGGAACAAAAGAGTTTTTACTTTTACAGCTCTAACCACAAAATATTTTTATTTATCTGGTCAGAAGAGAGTTTTCCCTCTTAGCCCATGAGTTCCAAAATCCTTCTCACCTACCTGAGGGCAAGAGGAAAGATACCTTAATGCATAATTCAATAGTGTCTATTGATCCTTTACTGCAAACATTAACCCAAACACAAATTAACTGATCTCCAAATCAGTGCTACCAACTGTGTGTGYACTTGGAACATTATTCACATTTTCCCAACTCCCTCCAGTGGTTAAACAGGAGATYTAAGGGAGCTTGGCTGCCTTCTGCTACAAAAAGTAAAATGGAAAATATTCAGTGTCTAACAAAGATGGAAACTATAGTTTACACACAAAATTTTGAGGAGTAAAAAAAATAAATATTGTTCTCATTATCAGAGTAAAAGATCACAAATCCTACATCGAAATATCTCCTGCTCCTTCTGTTGTCATATACATGTAATAACACGATAGCTTCTRGAATGGTATGTTCTGTCAGTAAGAATTTTTCAGACTCAGAACTGAGGACTGGATTATTGCTCAAAACAGCTGCATCAGCTCTTGCATTCAGACAAAAAATCCTCAAATTAATGTTTTATCTGCAATTTTCTCAGCAAGGCCAAGTCCAGCTASAAAACAATGAGTTACACATAATCTTATGGTTTTAATTACTATAAAAATGCCTCATTTGCCTAAGGTAGGACATTCTGCCACTTACCCTAAAAGTTGGGTAATARTGAATCCCATATTCTTTGCACGTCTCGTAGTTCCCTTCTTCCCCACAGTCGAGCACTCCAACTCTAATTGCAGAATCCCAGTCTGGAAACAATGATATTGTTCAATTTTCAGCAGAAGTGACCATGGATCCCAGCTGATGAATTACCTTGCTTCCCATGGAAACCAGCAACAGGACTCAGAGATTCCAACGGCAGAAAAATCCAGTCCTCGGTCGATTCTCATTTGCCATTCATTTCTATCCCCCAGTGTAACACAATCTACTGATTTTTAAAATAACGAAAACCTCCCTGTTTTTCTTGGCTGCATCAGTRTTTTCAATGCATCTCAAATAGAGGAATCCCAACACACAATGCAGCAGATCCAGGGTTGAACCCAGGAAGATGACATCGGGGCCAAGCCAACATTTGCAAGGTACTGGATTGAATTCCTCAGCTTTTTCCATTAGCTGTGCTCATAAAATAGAGCACACAGAATGTGTATAACTGAATAAAAATCATCCAAGAGTTACTCTTCCATGTGCCTGCCAATTATAAACCCATAAATTTGATGCACCTTGTACTAGARCTTTTTAACAAGCTCTTAATTTCCTGAGAGGCCTCAGAATTACACACAACCCCCAGCTCATGTAGTGTCTCCTGAAAGCTGTATTTATCTGGCAGCATTATTCAGAAATGCGTTAGTTATATCCCCAAAAATACCTGAGTTTTACCCAGTGTTAAATCGTTGAGTTTGAGCACCACTCTGAGYATTCTTTAYAACAATAAACAMGAGAGTTCAAGTATTTTCATGAATATGCTTATATAACTTCAATAAAAGCTTTCAACTACAGCTTTTTCCTTCTCTTTTAGCTGGGAATTTATCTTTATGAGCCAGGCTCTGCTGCAGCAATCCCTTTAAGGAAGAACCCCTCCAGGAAAATCCTTAGTTACTTTTTAAAGCAATGTCAAATCAAACCAGCCGTRGGCAGAATTTGAAGGTCCCCCACAATTCCCAGTGAAATTTCAAAAGGACTAMAATTAAACCTGCTTTTATTTCAAAGAGCATGAAAGCTTCATCAAGTTCAAGAGCTGATGGACAGTGCTGCCTATGAAATTTAGCTTGACCTTTATTTGTCTTTGGAGGAGGCTGGGGCAGCTGATGGAGAGGTTTGTGCTGAACATGCCAAGAGCTGAGCGGGCACCAGGAGCAGATGGGCACCTATTCACAGCAGCACAAAGGACACAACAGCCCATTTCATCACATAAAATGCAAAATACAAAAGGAAAGTTTGGCTTCTGGGTATCTCCCTCATTCAACTTTCACCACTCCTCCTCTTTTTTCCACCTGTCTGGATCCTCCTCCACGCCATGAATAGGAGTTCTTTGAACACAATGCAAATTACCCAGCACAACAAAGCAGCTCCACCCCAGCAAAAAGCTCGGGTTAGAGAGCACCAGCTGGGGTGTGCTGCTTTGCATTCCTGCTCCTGGAAACGGAGCTTTTCCTTCCTAAGGGATGCCAGAGTTGCTGGAGTGCACAGCCTGCACTGGAGYTTCCAGTGGCACTGTAGCCTGGGCTGGCTTTTTCAAGATGCTGGTTAATTTTAAATTAGCATTAGTGGTTTTGAAATACTGACTCGCAAACGATGGGAAAGAGGCAGATGAGCGATGCATTAACCAACACAATCTCTGTTTATGCTAAACAAGTTCCAGGGATTGACAGGACTGTGTTGGACAAACTGGAATCCTGCAGGTGGGTCAAACCTCCCACTTGAAAATGCCACAGAGCACCAACCAGTGAATTACAAGGGATATACTTTMTTTTCATAAACCTTGAGCATCCTCTCCAACTGGGTGTTTTCCCTCAGGAAGTTTCACTCAGAGAGATAAAAGGCTCATCTACAAGGCACCTCTCCCTCACAACTACTTGAGAGCTGCTTGTTTTGACACTTGGCTGTTTCCTGAGATGTGACAAGGTGACTGAAGTTTCCCACCCTCTGAGTTCAAAGAACAATTTCTAGTAGGAAATAATCATTGCTGGATTTGTTATTCCAAATCCTGATCGGTGGATTGATTCTGTGTAAAATTCACATGTTGTCCTATGTGGGATTTCCAAAGGTTTGTTACTACACATAACTCCAGCCCACAGAAAGATTTATTCATCTTGTAGACAGAAAAAGGATAATTAACTTTAATGGCCATTTTGGCCACTGCTGTAATAAAATGAAATGTGTGATTTGGAAAGCAGCAGCACTGACTGAGCTTAAAGTCTGTTCTRAGAAGGAGTATCAAAACAAAAACATAAATTACACAAAAGAAAGCACTGACCCTATTTTTCAGAGGGATTATGTTCTGCTATGAAGTCTGTAATGGTAGTATTGCAAGGATTTAACAAATGAGAAACAAAAGGAAAATTAAGTAAGTCTATTAGCACAGGCCTTTTTTTGGAACAAGTAGTTGCACCAATTTAACTGGATTTTGCTTGGACACCAGATCAGCAAACATAACCCCAGTGGTTTAGGAATTCCCTAATGTAAAACTTGCATCTTCAATGATAGCTTTAATATCCTAACAGATGGGTATTTTTTAAAAAGAAATGTTGAGACAGATTAGGTGGGCAAAATGTTTYGGGTTTGGTTTCTTTGATGAWGCTACCAATGAAAAGTGTGACTGTTCTCAGTCTCCTTCTAAAATCCATTAATTCCAACTCAAAAATGGAAACATTTTTAGACAAATAACACCAGAAGCCAGTAGCATTTACTGGTTGTGCCAATGTCCACAAACATTCAAAATCCACTTTCTAAATGAAAATCTTCATAAAATCTCATTGGATTAAAGGGGAGAGAGGCTTTTAAGTGGTTGCAGTAATACAAATGCATAACAGCATTTGCAGTTACCATGACTGCAGAYGACAAAGAAAATATGTATTTGAAGAAGTCTTTGTAAGCTACAAAGGTATCACACTGCTGTAATTCTATGTAAACATGTTCCTGTCTTATTTTGATAAAAGCTCTGGCCAGTTTGGGCTCTTCATGATCTCCACTGCTGGGCTCAAACAGCTCCTTGTTACTTCACAGAAGGAGAAAATCTAATACTATTTTGGCYGCAAGCAGATCAAAGCAGTAGAGAAAATGTTACATAAACTTATGCAAATTAAACAGAAAAAAAGCTACTGGTTTATAAACAAACCCGTCATGCAAGTAAGGAGCATTTGAAGTGCTCTGAAAACCGTGACTGCTCTGTGTTCCTCTCCTTTTGAGTTTTTGCTCATCAATCACAATTTCTCAGCATGTGATGAGTTCATCAGGACCTATTTTTGGGTGGGTTTCCATTCCCATATATCTAAATGTACACCTAATACTGCTCCTACATTTCATGTGAGTTATTAACACTTTTCAGAGTGTCACAGAGCAGCTGGAGCTCTTCACACTCTCTCCARGTGAAACCATGAGTGCATTAGAACTGCTGTCTCCATCCTGGAAACATTTCTTGGGTGAAATGTGGAATTAAGAGTAGTTTAAAAGCCTTTTACACTGCTATATTAAGCATAATATTTCCTAMAAATTTGATCTCAGGTTTCCTCACYAGCAGTACTGAAYTTTAATCRATACCTGMGGGGCCTGTTTGTTTCCTTACATCTACAAATAGAGTAAAACACTTTAGCACCTGCCAAAAAAACAGAGCAGCCTAAGATACAGCAAAGCAGGCTCGTCAGCATAAGCTGTGGAGGTCACCATTTCTTCTAAAGTCACTAATTGATAAATTTGAAAACCTGGTTCTCACTTYGATCAATTTTTGCATTATTTTTCTCCCTTCTAGCCCATCCACACTGAATTTGCAAGATATAAACCAAATGTGTGCATGGCCTCTCCATGTACTCCAGATACTCAAGGAGTATTTGTCTATCCTCTGAAGCAAGCTGTTCTCTTTATAAAACATTTAGAAGATAAACATCATRCCTTCAAGAGTTCAGTCTAAACAAACCCCGGGTACACAGGGACACTTGCATGCAAACCCACACCTGGCTTGCTCTGTGTGCATGCAAGGTGATGTTTTACCCCTGGATTCCTTCCAAACCTTTAATTTGGAGTTGTACTTCCAC